GTCCGTCCGTCCGTCCGTATGAGCAAAAGGATCTCAGAAGATATAAGAGCTAGAGAGCTGAAATTTGGCATGCATACTCGTGTATACCATAGGCAATACAAGTTTATCATATTTTTCGATAACTCATCCGATAACACTTTTATCGAGAATAATGGAAAAAGCGACAATGTTTTTTTAGTCTAATTTGAAAACTTTTCGACCTGAAGGCTTCAAATTTGCGTTGTATATTTTGGATACCACGCCCCCTTCGCCCCCAATTTGTAAAAAACGCATTTCAAGTACTAGAGACTTGTGCTTTGGAATGTACATTTTAACATTATGATTACGTTCTAAAAGTTTCATTAAACTCGTACGTCTACAAAAGAAATTATTCAACAAATAAATTCTCATAATATTGCCCACATTGCAGCGCAGCCCAAGCGCAGAGCGCGTGCTTATAACTGCATGTGTATGTATGTGTGCATAAAAGAAGTCCAAAATGATTAGAATATCAGCTTAGAGGGTTCAGGGTATCTCCTAGTCGAGCAGTCTCGACTGAAGCCTTCTTACTTGTTTATTTTAATTTCTTTACAGCAGAGGGCATTGCTTTATATTTATACTGCAATTTTATTATATATTCTACATTCATATCACAGTTAYCTATTTGCCATTGTTTTCTTATGTATTTTGTTAACAATAAATGAGCGTGAAGAATTAATACAAACCATGCACAGAAACGGACCATGCAGAGCTAATTTGGATGTCAATGAATAAAAGATCAGGGACAGATTGTTTCGATACAATGAATATGTGATCAGGGGCAAATCTATACGATATACAAAATACTAATTCACTAGAAAGTTTTCTATTGGCTTAGGCAAATTAGCAAGGCCATAAAGTGGAGTTGGTTACTACATAATATATTTGAATGATCTCATGATTCGGACAGAACTTGAACTGCTAACTCATAATGCCATCATCTCTAAAATTTAGTAGGCATTTATTTTTAGCACCTCGAAGGTCAGTAAAGGACATTGTTCGCTTGATTTCCTCAATTGTTCAAGTTGAAAACTCTCGAAACTCGAATTCACATTCAAATTCAAGCGCAACTCGAAGTCATGTGCAAATTTAATTACTGACTCAGCGACCTGAGCATAAGTCAAGCCCGGGGCACTGGAAATCCAAGTCGACGGACAACAAATAAATGTTAACTTACACACTAGCATATCTCATAGATATACAGTATATATGCAAATCGCAATGGTGGACAGCTTATTATTAATAGTAATAATTGATGTAGATTTTTTAGCACCTTTTTTCGGCTGGTTTCCCCATTTATAACGTTTGTGATTTGTAAGACAAACAGAAACAGATAAACAAAAGCCAAAACGCCAGAAAGCCAAAATATTCACAGACCGCGCGGCACAGCTGGCGAATTCTCTTTCTCATGGAATGTGGCTGGCTGCCTGGCGGTTTGGCTGTTAGCCAGGTTAGCTCGGTTCAGTTTGGATTGGCTGGGTGTCTTTGGAGAAACGTGTTTTCTAACAAAAGCCGCCTCTTAATGGGTCGACAAATAAAAGTACAATAAATAAATAGTAAAAGGAAAATGCGTAAAGGGTCGGGGTACAGATCGGCTTTGGCCAACATCGACTTACACCGCACAACTACGACACTTGATCTGGCCAAAATGCCAACGCGCTGAGAATCGAAACGTGGGCGATGAGATCATCAGCATTTAATTGGCTGGCGACTTTGACTTAGCCTCTTACAACTGCACAGCCAGAGTAGAGTGTGGAGAGTGCGAGGGCCTCACTCTCTCTCGTTCTCTCACTCTTTCTCTCCCACTCTATCTCCGCCAGCTCCATTTACAGTCGTAGCACTCTTCTCTTTCTCTTTCTCTTCGCTTTGTCATTTCGCATCTCTTTCCCGCCGCGTGTCGTTTTATGTCCCTGGCGCGCGCATTGACCGAATTCGGAAGATGAATGTGCGACAAATGCCAGAGATAAACCAACCGCTGGCAGCGCGACACGAATCGAATAATCGTGTAAGATCTCCCGAGCTCGAGATCTGATAATTGTCTATGTAAATTTCTAATGCTGACGCACTGTTTTTCTATGCCATTTTTGATTGCGTTTCGTTCGTCTATGACAGCTTTTACATACATTAAGGAAAAGGCAATCGTTGATTGACATTCGTCGTACATGGCGTATGCGCAATTAAAGGCAATCTGCGTCTGGCATTTCCTAGCATGCAAATTGAATTTCTTTATATCTCCAAGTTCATTATAATACTTTAATAAACATATATAATATATATTTATATCTTATATATATTATGTACTGTATGCCTTAAAAACCAGCTGAAATCCATGTTTCAGGTTTTGCTCTTAATTAATCCATTTGTAGTCATTAGTATATCCGGTACAATCTTGACAGGAAATGGGCAGCAACCGTTGCTGGGAGAGTTTAGAAATCTTTTATGTCAAAACAGTTGCCAAAATTTTTTGGCGTACCGTTAAGGTTTATTGCTAATGATGATGATGCTAATAACAATAATATTAGGAGCAATTGTGGACGCCAAGACGTCGCACTTGTGATTATTTATAATACTTCTTCATAGACATAGACGTATATACTTTTTAGTTCGCCTAATTGATTTTATAATCAAGGTTTTAATGCCGCTTCTCGTTTTGATTGTGGTTGTCATTTCAGCAAGCAGCAAAAAGTCTCCAACCGGGCAGGCAAAACTTCAAAGCCGAGACTCTCCAAATGTGTGCGAAAAAACAAGCGAGCCGCCAATGCAAACGCCACTTGCGCAGCCGAAGCAGCTCGCGTCGCTGTCAGTTCGTTGGCGCTCGTGTTGTGCGACAACAGCAGCAACAGCAGCAACAACAGCAGCAGCAGCAGCAGCAGAGGCAACAGCCATCGTGAGAAGTAACAGCAACAGCAGCAGCAGCGGCAGCGGCAGCAACAGCAACAGCAGCAGAGCGATTGGCGCTCAGTTGGTTTCTGTCGCTGGGTACGAACGGTTCCCTCTCGCGCTGTGCTCGTCGTTTCTCAGCTGCGTCTCGTTTGCCTTTGCGTTCGTTGCTTTCGTTAGTTGGTGCGCGTGCGCCGCGTCGTTGCGTTTATTTGTTGTGTCGTCGCTTCAGCACAAAGGTTCATGCGAGTCAAAGTAAAAGCCATAAAGCAAAGAGCAACAAAGTCGAAAACAAAAGTGTGCGAAAACAAAAATGTAACAACAACAACAAAAGCAACCAAACAACCAATCGCCCGACAGTTTAATACGAGTTTCGTTCTTGCTTCTTCCTAAAGTTCTTCTCTTTTGTTTTTCGTTGACCATTAAAAGTGAAGTTTTGAACGCACAAATTAAAAAAAGTTGAAAAAGAAAAGAAAACAACAAGAATTAAAAATCAAACAACAACAATAACAACAACAACGTCAACAAGAAGCGACATTAACCGCCCCACGAATAAGCTGCAACTTGAACTTCACTCTCCGGTCTCTGGTCTCTGGTCTCCAGTCTCCGGCGTTTCGGCGCGTCTCGTGTTATTTTTAGACAAAAAATCGCAATCGCAACGCAATGGGCACCAAGTCGCCCGGTGGTCCGCAGCGCTGTCGCCTCATACTGCAGCGCTGCCTGGCCATCCAGCTGAGCAAGCCGGGCCACACGCCCGAGGACTTTTGGATGTACGACTCGGGATATATGATATTTCAGGTGAGTTGAACGAATGTTGCCACAGAAGAACTGCCACTAGCTAGCTGTGAATTGCGAACTGGTTTCTGGACACAACTGGTTGTCTGGTCCACAGGCAAAACCACTGTCCAGTGTCCAGTGTTCGTGCTCAGACGGCGCTTCAGTGGCCCAAAGTGCGTGAGGATGTTCGAGAATGAGAGATGGGGAGGCCTGGCTTGTAGCTTGAACGAGTGATTCACAAAAGAGATTCGCAAGTTTTCGCTTAAATTTCCCAAATGGTTAAAGCCCGCAGAAATGCGTATGAAGATCGCTGTAGCAGATAGTTAACATTAAAAGAGCGAGAGAAAGAGAGAGAACGAGAAAGAGTGAGAGCGAGAGAGAGTTCAACTTTAAAGGTTTCAATGACTTTTGCTTACAAAGCGATAAAGGAATATGCAAAAGATAAATATAAAGATTTAAATCGGATTACAGCTTAAAAATAGTCACTGTAGAAATCGGTTAAACGACTTTAGTCGAATTGTTGCTTAATATGTTTGTATGCGAGCTTCGGTTCAAGGTCGCTCTGTGCGTTGTTTTTTTCTTTTTTTATGCTTTGTGCGCACTTCCCATGACGACAAATGACTCGGAACGATGGAGCACAGGTTTTGCCATTTTCCTTTTCCATTTGCCAGTTGTCAGTTTGCACTTAAAATTACGGCAAATCTGTTGGCGTCATTCTGACTAGACAATCTGCAATAACAACAACTGCAACGTGCAACATGAAAAACAACAACAACCGCAACTTGCTTGAACATTGATATTTAGTGTAGATATATATGCAGATATATATATAATAACTCCAGTAGACGCAGCTCGTGTCCTGTTTTTATAATCTTCGACTTTTATTGATGACTCTGAAAGAAGTTGGCAGCCAGTTGGTCCCTTTTTTATTGTGGCTCATGCTCCATAAAAAAGGCAGCTTATAAATTGCATCTTGCAACTTGCAGCAGATAAGCGCAATGGCAAATAAATCACTGGGGCTTCATATTCATGAAGTTCATTACGAGTCGCACCACTAACAGCAATCGAAATTGTGAATTTTCCGTTCGGCTTTGGCTTCCGACAATTTTCCACAGCGTTGGTTACGAATTTGAATTTTAAATTAGTTTTTGAATTCGTTTGTATTTTATTCTATTTTGTCGCTGTTGTTCTTGTTTTATTTTAGCCAGCTGTTCCGACAGATTTTTATTCAGTTTTTGGTGGCTGAGTTTTTATTGTTATGCTGTTCTTTTCATTGTTTATTGCAATTTGATTGCTGCATGACGTCATTGTCAAGTTCAAGTTTGAAGCGCTAATTTATGAAGCATTTAAATGAACCCAAAAATAATAATCAAAATATATAACACTAAGCAAACAGCAACTTAAGTTGAGACTATTATTAGACCGCACTTACCACAAATTACATAATTTATTTGTAATGCTAGCTAATTGCACACATTCAGGTAACAGACGCCTAAGAGTATATATTTTGATTTCATTTTATAATCGTGCACTCTTAAGTGTTAGAGTATATTGACTTTGTATAATATCCGTCTCTGTGTTTATCCGTATCTATCTACATTTATGTATAACTGTCAGCTTATATTACTAAGAGTAAATCGGAAAAAATTTTATCTCACAGTTTATATGCTGCAGTATTAGAAATTGAATAGATAAGCTACCCCATTAAAAGTAGACCAAATATTATCTACCCATACCTTTGATTGCCTCCACTGACATACCTCTAAACTATTTATATAGATTTGTGACAAAATTAGTTTAGTCTTGGACAGTAAACGAGTATCGGACAGTCTGTGCTGCCCAACTGGAACGTTCTTACTTGTTGCCACTACCTTGACGATCTTATGAGTAATAAAATGTCATATACGTTGTTATTTTTTGGATCTTTGCTTATAGCAAACTTTATACTTAATTAGCTAATTGTTGTTTTTCAAATTTCAAAGTAAATGTAAATTCTTTCAGTTGTCATAAGTAAGTTGACAAATATTCCCAACACTGTTTTATTAGTCATTGATTAAATTAAATGAACTTGGATAAATGTTTATTCAATTCCTGATGGGCTATGAATGATGTCTTACGGGAATACCATATTTATCTTAGTTTCCAATATTTCCTGAGATTAAGAAATTTCACTTCATGACAACGTCACATAGTTCTATTTTACGTATAGGACAACTAGCTTTCAAAATACATGGTAAATCAAAGATATAACTATGAGTAATAGAGATGAATGCAGTAAGCACAGAACTAGCCAAGTCATCTAATCATCTGGCCTTAATTGGCTAAAAACTCTAGCTGCACTTTCTAGCTAATTTTGAGAGCTTAAAGTGAATTACGTCAAATTAAAATTATTTTCGATGTTTATAAATAGATTTGATAATTGCTATAAATCATTTTTATATGCTTACTAGCTGGCCCGGCAAACGTTGCATTGCCCTATCCATTATTTCTAGGTATAAAATTGTTGAAAGCTATGTTGTTCAGGYTRGGAWACRCTGATAAATTTATYAATCGGATTTTCATTCAAGCACCTTGTTGTAAACGACATTCTTCGTTTTTTGGTCGGGTGCAAGAACAAATAATGCGGATCGTTTGCCAACACGTGAGCATGCCACGTACAATTGACCATGAGAAAAACACGCATTTTCTAGATTGAGGCCACAAATAGTCAAAGATTGGCCCTGTGACTTGTTGATCGTCATGGCGAAGGCAAGACGAAGCGGGAATTGAATTCGTTTAAATTNTTTTTTTTTTGAATAGTCAGGTCTGCTCGAGGTCAGGAGACCGTAGACTGACTGACTACATTTGTTTATTTACTTCTACACTATTGTCAAAACTGTCACTGTTACCAAGCCTACTGGGTATAAAAAAAATTTGAACATTTGGGGAAAAAACCGCGTTTTTCAAGTATTCGGCAAATTTTTTCAGTATTTTTAAGACCCTATACTAAACTCGTTGCGGAGACAAATCCAACAAATCAAAAACCATGAAAATTGGTTCAGCCCAAATCAAGTTATAAGCAGTCTTCACTTTTACACAACTTTCTTTTATATATATAGATATATATTTGTTAAAGCACAACAATTAGCCAACCTAAAGACATTTGAGTAATTATGTAGCATTTGCATATCTCAATAATTATTTTTTGAATTCGTATTTCATCTTCTTCTTGCCGAATATATTGCCGTTGGTTTTTTGATTGCTTATTAGGGTTCTTTCAAGTGTTGTGAAATTGACATTTAAGTGACTAATAAATGGTCGTGAGTTGGACAACAGAGGCACTTCAAAGAGGCAGCCGCCAACTTATCTTTTTCTTTTGGCTTACTTTACGTTGCTTTACTTTATATATACGATATATTTCGTTTTCTTTGCATTTTGCATGCCAAAACATTGTCGCATAAGTGATTCCCTTGAGTTTTCTGTTGCCGTTTTCATTTACATTTCCATACGTTGCACACGCACATACACACACATGCACAGGGAAGGAAACACACACACTCATTCACATGTGAAACGGGCTTCGTAGTCGGAGTGGGCATGTGTGCTAATTAATAATACGTGCCTCGGCACCGTTTTGTATGGTCTCTCATGTATTTCGTCGTCTGTCGAGATAAGAGCAAGAAGCGTGCCCTGAATATGAATCGGAAGTGGCCAGAAACGTTGTTAATATTTGGGGCCGAACCATAAACAAGGCCGAATTGGGGCAAGTCCAAAGAAATGCATCAAATTTATTGAAAATTTGTGAGAGAGCAGGAAGTAGTTCAATCTGAGTTCACGAGCTATGCGCACAGCAAACTGCTGAAACACTGAAGCACTCATGATAAAGTTCTTGGCTCGCATTTTAATGTCGTCTCATATTGTGGGCAAGTGCAATCAAGTGTGAATTGTGTTGGGCTGGGCCTCAATGGAGAATGGAGAGGGAGCTATAGCTTGAAAGGGACCAAGTCCAAGACAGAAGTCAATGTTGCGTAGATTTACTTAGACATATGTATATATTTATAAATGTCTACATATATTTGTATGTTAAGGGCGTTTGCCAGGGTCAGCCACTCTTAGGTATATGTATATATTTAATTTAAATTTTAAAAAGTTTGCTTCCGGTTAGAGAATGATGAGAAAATATGCGCAATATGTGTGACGAAATTTACGCGCTTGGGCAATACATTGAAAACTCATTAAAGATGACTCTACAAATGGATAAACTTGAGTTACACGCCTTTTAAATAAATAGTCTTTTATGACAGCCATAGACAACAAATTAGTGTTCCTATGATAAATAACTCTAAATTCACCAGTCAAAATTTCCAACAACTTTATGAAACTAACGTCTTAATATATTGTATGCATATGAAAATATAGCCAAGTTTTCTATCGATTGTGTTTTTATGAAACTTGCGCCCATATTTTACTTATTAAATAGTTAACTATTTATATATATCAGACATTTAATAGTCTTGTATTGATTATTTCTTTAAGAGACTGTATGGCATATATTTAGCTGTAATAAAATATATGCGTATTTATTTTTCTTTTAAAAAAACCACGCCCTGGCGAAATAAAATCTATGCTTTATGAGATACTAGAATAGAGCAGGATGATGTTTTTATAGAGACAGCTAATTGACTTTTTTATGAGCAAAAATGTATTGAGCGCAGCTTTTGCAAGGCAACATGCAATCTATGGAGGCGGTGCTCTGCGAGCAACCTGAATGATCTCTGCACCATTTGAGAGTCGTCGACGCATTTTGTTTTTATTTCATACAATTTTTCTTAATGTTTGCAACACGCAAATGACTTGAACTTAAACAACTTGTTTCGTATTCCATGGAATTGTTTTTTATATTTTTATGTGAATTAATATGCTTTATGATAGTTTGACTTTTACGGCCCGGCGAGAGAATGCCACGTTTGCTCGAATGCAAAATTGCGTCATAGAATCAGGAGATATATATAGCAGCACGACTCACCCAATGCCACAGCATG